TTTTATCGAGTATTTTCACTCACCAGTTGCTAGATTGATTTTTGGGTTCCCACAGAATTTCACCTATTCTTTCCAAAGTTGATTTTTCGGAAAACGAAAATAACTTATTTTTCTACAGCTGGAATTTTTCGTTTTTTTTTTTCAAATTATTCTTACATCTTTTAATAGCGCAGTAGACCATGATTGGTGGAAAATAAATCTGGAAAATGATATTTTATTGACAGGTTAGGTTTCCTAATCTCTTCACACTGATGTTCGTTCAGTCCTGTATTCGAGAAGTTCTTTACCGTGCCAAACTTCCATATCAAAATAACAAATTAAAAATGAAATTACCTATCTGTCGAAAAAGTCACCGAAGAAACTATCTGAATAAATAAATACACCTTTTTAGAAGTTTTGACAATTCTCAGATCACAGTCAATAGCTTGTATACAACACGTATACACGACCAAGCATGTGTTTGTAAAATAAGATGGCGGATTTGGTGAGTTGCGCAAAGCGAACGAAAATTGACTCACCTTGTTTTCTTCCACCATGCAGGGACTCTAGCATCTAGAGTCAAGGACATTCAGAGACTGGAGTCATCAGCTTTAACCCAAAGAAGAAGAAGGAGAAGGGGGCTGTAGTCACATTCCAATTGGTTTCGCCATTTTGTTACAAAAAGTTGATCGAGCCAATAGGCGTAAGTCCATTCAGTGACCAGACTCTTATATAGGGCCTCTATACAGACGGAACTGCTACCGCCATCAGTGGAGAGATGTAAGAACAGCGGGAAGACTGTAAAGCGAAATTATAAAGCGGGGAGCACACACTTCGGCACAACGCATAATGCGTAAGTATAAGAAAATTGATTGGTCCATACACATGTGCATAAGGAAATAGACCAATCAGTTCTCTTATGCTTACGTATTATGCGTTATGCAAAAGTCTGTGTTTCTCGCTTAAAGCACATGCATGGAGGGGTGCAGGGAAGCTAACATGCGTGGGCGGGAAGGCTTTGCTCCCCTGCACCCCTTCATGCATGTGCTTTACAATTTCGCTTTACAACTTAGCATATACTTTAAGTTGTAAAGCGAAGTTCACGCTGCCTACCGGCGGAGGTGGGTGCGGGAGGGGGGCCAAAGGCCCCTTCTGCATTCCCTCCCGCGCGCGCGCGTGTGTGTGTGTGTACCCATACAGCACAAAATATTTTCAAAAAATATTTCTACATATTTCTATTTTAAGATAAGATTTTTAATCTTTTGTGATAAAATTTGTCAGAATATTTTAAGAATCTTTTAAAAATATTTTTAAAGATATTCTATTTTATCACCCAGACAATATTTTCTTAAATATTTGAAATATATTTTTAAAATATGAATTCAAATCTACATATTTATTGTTTTATAATCTTGTTCCAAAATATTTAAAAAATATTTTTTTATTGGTTCTATAATTTTTTTCAAATATTTTTGAAATATGAAATATTCTTAATTAAGTAAGATGCATGGTAGAGCATCTTTCCGTGCTAGTTCGCAACGACGCCACTAAGCAGCATATAATGGTAAGACTAACTCGTAAGTCGTAAGTAAAAGTTGAGGGCTAATATAAGCAGGCCTCCGGCGAAGCAAAATCATGACATTCGCAAGACATATCTTTGCCAGCAATACAACGGAAGGCTTACCCAACATTGCTGCAATGATATAGATATACAAAATAATATTTTCCAAAGTAAAATGTAATAACAAATCGTTATCACAATTAATGATAACGATCGTACTAAGCGAGCGAATGAGATAGAGAGACGGAGCGTTATAAAGAGTAATGGCGACCAATGGCGACAGCCAATGAGCGAGCGAAAGAGTAACCCGAAATGACGCTGGAGCGCGAGCGTTGGTGTGGTGTGTGAAAGAGAGACAGACAAAAAGTTAGTGAGAGTCAGGAAGATAGAAGGTAGAAAGAGTGTGAGAGCAAGAGAGGGAGAATAGCGAGCGAGCGTGAAGCAGGAGCCGTAGGGCAGCGGCCCGTAACAAGTGTGATTCTTACAAAAGAGTGTATCCTGAGATATCATATTAAAGACATTTATATCGAGACTTTAGTTTTCGTGTGTTGATTGAATACCGAATCGGGAATCTCTACGAGCCACCGACAAACCATCCGCGATAAAGTTTCGAGTAATACTGCGAGACTGAGTAAAGATACCGCGAGTGTTTATAGCAGTTAACAGATGTAAAGATATATATTAAATATATTTATTTGCAATATTTTAAAAATATTTTTAAAAATATTTTTTTGACATGATCTGGTGGACATACGAAAATTTTGAAAATATAACAAAATTAAAGGCTCACAAGATTAAAAATTAATCAAAGAAAAAGGAGCGTCGAGTCGTAACAAGGTGTTAGTGTTAAAAAATTCTATATTAAAGTAAAAAATAACAAACATTTCGGACCTTTATAGGACCATCTTCAGTGTCACATAAAAATTAGAGATTATATTTTGGATAAAGTTAACATACGATACAAATTATTACAACTAAAATTAACGCAACAGTTAAAACGTTGAATTTGAAGTGGACTATACTGTAACAATTGTAATTTAATCTAATTAATTCAATGGGTTTGTAGAAAAGGAACAATAATTGAATCTATACTATTATATAAAATTCTTACGGGTGGTGTATGTTTGGGGCCGTTATGTTTGAACGTTTTTAACTTAAAAACTATTGGACCGAATTTTTACCAAAAGTATATAAAATAGGGGTAGAATTTTCCGGGGAGTGCTATAGAGTGTATAGATTTTTGTTATCTATTTTCTGGAAACCGATTTTTTTAATTATTTTAATTCTTACGGGTGGTGTAACCTTAGAGGAGGGCGGCAAGCTTGGCCAGGCATCAGGATTCAAGTATCTGTCGTGGGATCTCTAAACATGGACTTGTGCTGACCTCCACAGTTACATCATCGTAAAGATTTGTCACACTGACCGTGGGATTTGTCGCCGCAAATAATATAGCGAGTTTCGCTTTTACATGCAATTTTTGTATGACCGAATCTAAAACAGTTAAAGCATTGTCTCGCTTGAGGTACGTACGGTCTAACTCTGAGTGAGTCCGACTCTGCTGGCAAAAATTTTTAAGTCTCTGACTTTATTCTCTTTGAAAGTAACTACAATATTATCTGTTGCTAGTAAATAAGATTTCTTAGTAGTAGAGTTCCATTTCCGTCGGTACATTCGTTCTAGTCTGAGAATATTTGACTTGTCACGAATCATCGACCACAGCTCATGGATCGTCGTCGACCAATCCAAAATTACACCTTTGCAAATTATAGAAAGTTGCTCCAAATGAGCTTTAAATTTAATCGGGTCACTGAGCTTATCTATAATTTCCAGCGCGCGATTAGCGTCTCTAAAATTTTTAAACTCCGCCTCTGCCGAAAAATGATTAATCATAGTTACAGATACAGGGCAGATTCAAATGTGCCAGACTAGAGTCAAGCTCAACAGGGTCTTCTTTCCCCGCTAATTTTTCCAAGCCCGTTCCCTTGGCAGTGGTTTCGCTAGATAGTAGATAGGGACAGTGGGAATCTCGTTAATCCATTCATGCGCGTCACTAATTAGATGAAATTGTATCTGTCATTTTGTAAATTTGAGAGAACCAGCCATATTTTAATAAGGTTCTTACCTTTTTTTGTGGTAGTTTGATCGGGGGGGAGGCGTAAAGTTATTTTAGCGATACCTTTAAAGTTGTCCTCAAATCTAGCAAAGCGTTGCGCGTCAAACAAATAATTTCCAGGGTCACATTTCTTCAAAGTAGAACCACTTACAATATAGGATTCCTTGTCAAAAGGAGGCATAACATTGTCCACGGCAGTATCACGTGTATCGTCTGTTTAGTCACGTGATCATTGCGAGCAGGCGGCGTGTTGCGAATATCTACATTCAAATCGCTACAGTTGGTCGGGGTCGCTTGGTTTATTAAAAGATCGCGGCCCCGATTGTCCCCTACATTCACGGGGGAGCCCACGTCCACTTCTATATCTTCTTCAAAGTGTAAATTCCCGCGTCAATAGTTAGGTTTTGCCGCTTGCAAAGCTCCTCGTTTCTCTGCTTTTTAGAGGAATGATTTCTGCGGTTTCTATCCGAAATGTTATCCTCGATCCTGAAGTCCTTTGTAATCTTGTCGAATTTCTGTTCTGAGACGCAAATTCTCATTTTCTTATTAGCGACATTGTAGGGCTAGCTTTTCATCTGAGGTACGAGAGCTATCACGTGAGAGCTGCCCCGACGTGGCGACGTGATCCGGCGAATCCATACCAAATTAACTAAAAACTTGAACAACGCTCCCCTCCGAGAGAGAAACAACAATTAGTAGAAAAAATAAAAACCCCCCCCGAAAAGAGTTCAAGCTAATTGTAAGTACTCCCGCGTAGCTTAAAACCAATGCACTACTAGAGACTGCGCAACAGGCACACTAAGCGAACGAGAAAGCAGGGGACACACGTCTGTTTTGCACGGCGGTTTGAGCCGAACTCTCCTGACCCTTTTTCAATTCATAAAAAGGTTAAATTTAAAATTAAAAAAAGTGTGCAAATTAAAAACTTGCACATTGCTTCCTCATCATTACAGATCGCTACCATTGCTTATTTTACTCATAAAGCTTCCTTTATAAGGAAGCCAAACTAATAAATACTAATAATTATGCATCAAATAAAATACAAGCTTCCTCATAAGAGGAGCTTTGTGTTTTATATATGTTTACATTTTCTTTCAAGTATAATTCTTTCAATATTCAGACTGTTAAAAAAATTAATTGAGTTTTTATTTTTCTCTCTTCTCTCTCTTTCTTTTTCTCTCCCACCTCTCTCCATTCCTTTTTCCTAAGTCTACATATAAGAATATAAGTTATTGGATAGTTACTTATTTAAGTAATAGTTTACATTTAAATAATAGTATCCATTAATTAATCTCTTCAGCAATTTATTCTTTTATTCTAAAGAACAACACCTGAACTTGTTTCAAGGTCATAACATGTCTGGGGTGGATGGTAACAGCACGGAGGGGGAATCTGCATGCGGCCGTGGACCTGCTCAGACCGGGCCCGGTTGTTACCGCAATTATGAGCATTATAGTCTATCGCGACATCGGCGCAGTACGTCTAATGCTTGTTTTCCGAATTTACCGAATGACCTGCCTACTACGCCTGACAGCCCAAATCGTCGGCTTCTCGACTTTGTCCAAAATGTACCGGGTGCCCAGAACGATGATTACTACCAAGACGAAATGCCGACGCAGCATACCTACCAAGGGAATGTGACATCTAGCGTAAGTTCAAACGTCAAATATATAGTATTAACATATTACATATACATTTTTCGTGTATATATATATGTATTTAGTTATATTGGACTTTGTCCATGATTTATAACTCAATATCACTCAGATACAAGAAAGAGTCTAGAGAAAAAAAATTCTCTATTTTATTTCTTGAGAGCACCACGAAAGTAATTCTTTGAAAGATGTTACAATTTATGTATGATATTTTACACACATATATACACTCTCCCATCGCCTCCCGCTCCACAGACATACACACTCGTTATAGGGCAATTAAAGTGTGTTACATTATTTTACTTTTTTACCTTTAAAAAACATTTTTAACCCTAGCTAGCCACACTTATTTTTGAGTGCTTAATTCGCCACACTCCGGTCCGTGAGACCGTTCGACTTTGTCACATTGTTATTTTTATTCTAATTAATATTTTTAAGCTTGTGCTGTAGAAATTGGCAATACAGACTCTGAATAAGATGTTTATGATATCAGGTCTAGAAAATATAATTTGAATTTGAACTGAACTTATTATATAAGGAAACTAGAAAACTATGTTAGTGAAAACTAGAAAACCGAAAAACGTTTAGCAGTCTATTGGATCGGAGTGTGGAGAGCTAGGATTAATTATATTATCATTATATTATCTTTAAAAAATGTTTTAGATCAAAGTTATTTAGTTTTGTGAGACTATAGACGTATGCATGTCTATAGTATGTATGACGTATGTATGTATGTCTATTGAATCTCTTTTTAATAAAGCTCTTGATAGTCATAATCAAAATTACTTTAAATTTTTTAAATAAAAATTGTTATTTTTTATTTTATTTTTTAAAATTATAAACTGTAGAAGTTAGAAGTTAGATAATACGACACAAATTTGATTATGCGGTCTCACATTATATGTTGCATAATGTGAATATTGGCGATTTTTATCCTAAGTTTTGTGGTTCATAATTTAAAACGTTTATAAAGAAAAATAGTATAATTACATCATGATAAAAACATCTTGGCATTAGTTACAAAAATACAGGATGTTTCTGAACTTGGCGCTAAAACTGGTACAGCGGCTTTAGCACATGAAAACAAGTCAAAAATGTCTAATAAATATATGTTTGAATCCGAACGGTTTCAGAATTATAGGGTATTGAAGTTGCTTTCGTAAGAAAACATAAATTGAAGTAAATGTTGTTTAATGTTCTTTACTCTGTTTAAAGCTTTACAAAAGATGCTAAAAAATTTCTCCATCGAAGAACAACTATTGTTTAGCGCATCGCCTTGTACATAGCTGTAAATAGTCGTTAAAATTCGTCATTTGTCTAGTTATCATTTTCTTTGTAATTTTGCGCGAAACGTCGGCGGATCGCGAACAGTAGAATTATGCGACTCACCTATCGGTGCTGCCATCGCCCATCCGCCGACGGCATCCGCTCCCCCCAAAAAGGGAATAACTACTCGCCCGCGGCACATTGCAGGACCGCGGAGAGGATAGACACTCATCGTCAAACCGTCTCACGGTAGACATACATTTGTCGTCAAGCCGTCCTACGGCACTTACACTTTTCGGCAAGCTGTCTTACGGCACACACACACACACACACACACACACACACACACACACACACACACACACACGGGATCTTGAGAAGCGCCGGCCGCATGATCACGACTTCCTGCCTACGCTCGCTACTGCTTTGCTTTCGCTTGCTTGCACGTGCCTGCTTTGCTTTGCGTTTTGCATGCGGAATTAGACAAGGACACCTAAGCGGCCACGAGGCCCGGGCAGGACGAAGCCCGACGGAGCCAAGGCGACCGGCGCATCCCGGTGAGTCGTTTTTCGCTTTACAATTTTGCTGCATGCGCATCTTTTGCGTTATCATTAGTCGTGAGGGGTAATTACCCTTCTCTGGACCTTCGAGTAACAATATCGCAAATCTAGCCTCCGGGGCGAAACAATCCCCGTTCATTGGTCCTTCGAGGCGGATCTTCACGTTAGAAAATTACCGCCGACCTTTCGCTTATCTCGCTTTATTCGCTAATTTGCTAATATTCGCTCATTCTTGTAGTCACACATTGCAATAACACGTGGCGCGTGATAGTCTCTAGTCTCGCGCGATATCTCCCGCTCGCAGTTCTTATTTTGCGACGAGAATATTCGCGTGAGCTTCTCGCTTGTTGTAACCCGTGCCATTGTCGTTATCTGCATTAGTCGTGAATTCGCCAATTTGTTTGCTCTAGTAATCGTGAGGTGCGACAACGCACGGCGTGTTAATCATCTCCAGTTTTGCGCAATATCTCTTGTTCGCAATTCCTAATTCGCGACGAGAATACTCGCGGGAATCTCGCTCGTAGTAACACGTGCCATCGCTGTTATCTGCATTAATCGTGAAATCCGCAATTGACGCGGTAATTAGTAGAAACCAGTAATCATTAATATAGTAACCGAAATATTCAGCTTTCGAATATTCTCGGGCAAGCCATACATTTTCGTCTTGCTATCGGCGGCCTTGGCGCGGTCACGGGCCGGCCGTGTGTATACACGTTGTTTTTCTACATAGACTTGCGCTCAATAATAACGCGCTACACTACTTCTCGTTGTTGCTGGGTCGACTTCGGCACGACTCGAAATACATATTCCGATCGTTGGAATTCTTGTCAACATATTTGCCATCGATCGAGATTATTGTTGTCGGCGCTGGTTCCCGATATAAAATATCTCCACACTCTGGCGTTCTTTCAAGTTGATCATTAGACGTTATAATTGCAATTATAATCGAGTCAAAAAAAATTGTCGTACTGAAAGGTGCCAATTCATGGGACGCTGAAAAACAGCGTTGAGCGACGTCACGTGACATCACTATGATGCCAGCGTCAAGAAAGAGAAGTTGGATTTTTCCAACTTCAAGCGTCAAAGCCAAAGCAGCGCGAAGACGCCGAAATTTTGACGCTGTTTTCCTTTTCATGAATTTCAATTGACGCCGGCGTCAATTGTGGTCATGCGACCTTCTTGCCGCTGAAAATGAGCGTCGAGCGTCAGCATAAAAAGGCACCTTAATGCTTGTGTCGTATATATCGCTCATGTCGTGTATGCTGCTCGTGCCGTAACACCGCGCGCAACACACCCTGATCTAATCGTAACGCCATAGAGATTGAGTGCAATTCTCGTCGCAACCGGGCACCTGTGCCAATCTAATTGATAATTTTGATCATTAATACAACTATTTTCTTATTTTGTTTATCCTCTGCAACCATCCTTGAGATTTATCCTGTGTTTGATTCTCGTTTTCTTGCGTTTGTGCCGTAATGTTATCGCGTCAATTGTTGCATTATAGTCAAAGAATATTCTCTCGTGAATGTTCCATCGAGCCTTCGCATAGGAATTCGAACCCTTACTTCGATTGTTGTTATTTCGAGCTCACGTGAACCTTCGACCTTGCGCACATGTTCCACGTTCCGATCATCATGAGCCGAGGTCACGTAACTAAACGCGAGTTGTGTATACAGCGGATGAGGGAGATCTATGAGCTGTCGATGCTCGCCGCGGACAATGTCGCGCAGAGGCCGAATTTCCTAGTTAGATACTCTACCGTGGCTGGATTGGTTAAGGATTTTGAGGCGGCTTACCTCAAAATAATCCAAGACGCCTCAGACGAGGAGTTTACCGCGGAAGACGCAATTCGTAAGGAATTCGATACGATGCGCTTCGGGGTAATCGGGCGTTATGAGAAGTTTGTGGGCACCGACCGAGCGGCCGCCGCGGCCGCTCAGGTCCCGGTCCAAACGTCGTCTATCCGACTGCCCAAAATCTCACTTCCGGAATTCTCGGGGGATCTCGCGCTTTGGCCTTCGTTCATCGCATTATTCAACGTTTCCATTCACGAGAACCGGAGTATCTCCTTCATGGAGAAGTACCAGTATCTGGTGGCCTCATTGAAAGGGGAAGCGCTCAACCGTCAAGAACATCCCGCTCTCCGCCGATAACTACGCGATAGCTTACAACGCCTTGATTGCGCGATATCAGAACAGATGAGTTTTAACGGATTACCACGTGGACTTGATGCTCAACGTTAAGCCGTTAAAAACGGACTCAGCCGCCCCTCTGCGTACGCTGTTGGACACATTTACCGAGAATACGCGGGCATCGAACCTTAGGATTTTCCACAGACTCTTGGGACTACCTACTGCTCAAATTTTTACTAGAAAAATTACCCCGTTCGCTTCGCGAGAAGTTTGAATCCAAACACTGGGCAGAAGAAATACTGAAGTATGCGCAACTTACAAAGTTCCTCTCAGATCACTGCCGGGTCCTCGCGTCCGTGTCGGGGCCCTCGAACATGTCGCTCAAATCACAGTTGTCTTCGCCGAAAAATTCCGGGTCAGTTTCATCGCTCGCAACTCGAGCTGCCGAGTGTCCGGTGTGCAAAGAACAACATCTCGTCTTCAAGTGCACTCGATTCTTGAAACTATCCCCTGGGGAAAGGTACTCCACGGCGAAAACCGCGAATTTGTGCTTCAATTGCCTTCGCGCGGGTTATGGCACTAACAACTGTCCATCGACGGGGACGTGTCGGTCGTGCCAGGCTAAGCATCATACGCTATCGCACTTCGAACGGAATTCGGGTTCAGCGAGTGCCCCCGCGGATACCGGAGCCTTTTCCGAATCGGCAGTCGACAAGAGTTTGTCACAAAATAACGAGCCCCTCGTCACCATAACTAGCGTTGCGAAATCGAGTTTGACAGTATTACTGTCGACGGTACAGGCCGAAGCTCTCGACGTCCACGGGAATCCATTCCCTGTTCGCATTCTTTTGGATAGTGCCAGTCAATTGAATTTTATTTCGGAGAACTGCATGCAAAGGGGGGGTTTCGGACGAACCAAGTGTCGTACCATAGTCTTAGCGGTGAATGATACGAAGGCAGCTGCCACCCGGGGTAACACCTTAGTCGTGATTCAAACACAGGGCAACAGTAACACGCGCATGTCAATAGAGGCTAC